GTGTGTATGTTTGTATTACTTCTTGTAGAAATCTAGCTTAAACTTACGGGAAGCCAACAATGAAAATAGAGATAAAAACAATAGACTCTCTCTTAATACTGATAACAAATACGCGGAGTCCAGTGGCGGAAGCGATGTAAACAGTGTCAGCGGTAGCGGCGCTTCCAAGATAACCAGAGCTAATGTTACTAATGCCGGCAGCGCCAAGAACGGTTGCGGGAAGCAAAGTTTCGAGCATGAAGACAAAGATGTAGGCACCGAGAAGGATAGTCGACAACAAAGCGAAAATGGTGCCTTACATCAGTGTATCAATGAGTTGGCTGCTTCGTTCGGCAGTAATTCCGCTAGCGGCGATTCTGAGGCAGTACGCCACTCTCCGTTGGAAGACATTAAAGAATTGGACATAACACCGACTGGTGAACCAACACAGAAAACAACAAAACCGCCAACGCAGAAAACATCGCATTTTGTTACAGTAATCGAGGTTAAGGAAAGCAAGTCAAACATGGATGCTGAGGTAGATGACGGATTGGAGGGAAGTGAATCGGCGCAGGGCACCACCACCACAACTCTAAGCAGTTTCGAACGTAAAACGTCTACCAAGGTAGAGCCAACAGCACCGCCTTTGTCCCCTGCATTAACATCGCCTTCCATGTCAGCTTCAACGTACGCTGCACATTCGGACGCCAAAAAGAAGATGCCACCAAGGTAGGAACTATTTGTTTTTTTTTTTTTTTTTTTTGTCAAAATAATATGTCTCTTATTTTAATTCAGGCCTCCTCCCAAAAATATACGCCGAGTTGAACCACCTACTATACCAGGGCAACTATCATCGTCTCCGAAACGTGACTCTCCATTTGTTGGCAGTAGTATGCCTTTACCTAGCGGCTCTGGCAATTTATCCTCATCGGAAAGTCCAGGAAATTCGCTTGAACGTAACATCAAACCTTCTGATATTTTGCGACAGAAGTCACCCGAGTCTTTGGAAGCTAAAACATTGGCGGCCAATCGGAAAACTACACCAGAGCTGGGCAAATTCAATCCGCCTGACTTGATGGAGGAACTAGGACGAAAAGTTGGTAAATCGGAGAGTCTGGAGAAAACCAAACGCTCAGAAATTACGACAACGCAGAGTCCAACTGGTAGCTTGGGACGAACGATTTCCACGCAAAGTCGTAACGTATCGGGCCCTCCTCGAGGCAGCGGTGCCGCAGTGGGCGCGTCACCCACTGGCAGCTTGAATAAGCCTTCGAAGCTGGCTGTAGCAGATAGTTCATCGACGAATAGCTTAGAAAAGAAATCTCGTTCTTCACTACCAGCCGCTGACAGCGAAAGTGGACAAAGCCAGATAGTTGGCTCAAAGGAATCACTAGCATCACAAGGCATATCGGAAATCGTGAGTAAAAGAAAATATTATATTTGGTTTTGAAATTTTTGTAGCTGATTGAAAATAGATACTAGTGTTTTCAAAGTGAGGTAGATAAATATTGTATTTGGCAATAAATAAACAAATTCTATTTTCTCGAGCAGATTAAAAGCTATGAATCTGTTTCATCTTTGGGCTCTGACTGTGCAAAAGCCCCACAACACCTGGACAATGAACCGTATTACGACACAGTACCACTGGATAATGGCGAGGGCGAATATGTTTATATAAAGCCGGGCGGCACTGGCTCATCGTCCAGTCGGGATGATCTATCCACGCCCGGCAGTACGCTTCCAATCGGTTCTGCTACACACCTTAGTAGCCAGGCGTCTGTAACAGATCCTGAGTCTCCAGGTCGTAGCTCAAATTATGTGAATATTGATTACTTTCTGCAGTAAGTATGAAATATTTTAATTTTCACTTAAAATAACTATCAAGCATTTTTCTCTATCATAGTCAAAGCAATGAAACACGTTCTAGCTCTCTAGACAGTGATGGAGAGTATGAGGGACCGCCAATAATGCGTACAATTTCTCATGATGAGCAGAATACCCAAACTCCTAGTGCTTTACGAAAGGTATTGCTTTGCTCATATTCAATACACACACATACATTTAATTATGTCTACACATACATACATACTTGATGCTGGGGTTCCAAAGATAACCAATAACATATATTTGTTCCAAAAATTATCAAATGCTGTTATAACCTTTGATGTATGTATATAATTCTTGTAAACATATGTGGCGCTTATAGACACTGTACACACATAAGTAGCATATTAATAAAAACTTTCGAAAGTAATTTCATAGTTAAAACTAATTTTACCCCCACTAACTTGATTAATATGGATGAATCCCTAAAACTACGAAGCAGCATATGATCTATAAATTTATGGAGCAAATATCAAACTAATTTTAAAAATATTTTTCACAAATTAAAACCGTTTAAGCTTCACACTTACTAACGATGGACTCATCATTTTTATCTTTAAATTTTTCCCCCAACAGAATTTAGTTTCAGCGATACTAGTGAGTATTTTGTGTGTTTAGTTTTTATAATTCACATTAAAATATATTTATATACTTAAGCTCCATCTTCACTTGAATAACTTCTAATGCACAATGGTATTTAATAAATCGCGAGACATGCAAAAAAAAATCATACCTTATTTTTATTAACCTTCTAAAAGACAAATATGTGTGTGAAGAGGTTGTAACATAGATTTTGATATATTACAATAATTATTATTGGATGATGAACAACTTACATCCTTTCAAAGGGAAAACTACTTGAAGCATTCGCTTGAAATGGAAATGCCTCGACAACATCGTAAATTTCGAGGATTTTGTTCGACAAAAAAAAACATGTATATAAAAGACGAACAAAATTCTATATTTGAAAAAAAATATTTATCAGGCAGGTTCTGCAATTCACTTCCGAGTGAATTTCAACCCCTGC